CAAGGCGGGCGCCAACAGCATTTGCTTTAGACATGGTGTGGCTTTGGCATCATAAAGTATTTTGGGGGTGTAAAACCAGGAATGAGACATAGAAGTCAGGGATGATTTCCCCAGAGTAGGTGACATATGAGTTGAATTTTGAAAGGTTACTACTCAATGGGAGAGGAGGCATTTCAGGTAAAGGCCGAGGTGTGAAACAGCTTGTTGTCTTCAGGAGAAACTGCAGAGCTTGTACCTGAGTCATGGGGTTTGGCCAAGATCAAGTCAGGAGCAGATGCGAAAGCCAATTGGTGATGGGCTTTGAATACCAGGCTCAGGAGGTCAAAATTTATCCCCAGGTACTAGGGAACCAAGGCAAGCTTCTGAGCAGGAGAGGGGCACAGTCAGATCCATGTTATAGAAAGATCTCTCTGGGGCTGGTGTGGAGGATAGATTGGGAAGGGGCAGACTGGAGCCAGAGCCCTGGGAGGAGACTCCCTGCATGGGTCCTGGGCCCAAGACAGACTGTGAGGGTCCTCCCTTCCCATTTCCTTTCGGGGCTGGCCCTGCCTGACATGTGCTTGATGAGCCCAGAGAACAGCACTGGAGTGGGCATTCCCCACATCCATCTTGACCACTCTGGACCTTATCTGGTTTGGTACAAGCTCAATGTCATCATTAACTAGATACAATCATTATCCGGATTTAATCATTATCAAATTACAGACCTGGCTTATATTTCTCTCTCTCTCTCCATCTTTGTGGCCCTCTCCATCTCTTTTTGTGTCTTTGTCTCTATGAGTTTCTCTCTTTCTTTTTAAAAATATCAGATATACACAAGTGAGTGGAACTGAGTCCTTGGTTCATGACATGCCCTCAGCACTGGCACATCAAGTCCTACAATATTTATAATATAAGATAGTATGAAACATAATATAATATATGCACCTTGAACCACTATTCACCCCAGGAACTAGACCAGAATCAGTATCTGACATCACCTCTGTGCTGCACACCCTTCCCACCCCCCAGCTCTCTGCTGAAGGTCACTAAGATTCTGAATTTTGAGTTTATCCTCCTCTAGTTTCCTTGTTTTTAGTGTTATTACAGGTATGCATACCTAATTAACATGTAGTTTGTTTTTACTTGTTTATTAATTTTATGTTAAAGTCCTGTCTTTTCTTTTTAACTCAATGCTGTTGATGAGAATGTGTCCATGTTGTTGTATGTAATCATGATTTGTTTGTTTTGAAGGTTGTATGTGACTACACCGTTATTTATATCACCTGGAAACTTGTTAGAAATGCAGAATCTGGGGCCCTGCCCTAGCCCCGCCAAAACAGAATCTGCATTTTTTTTTTTTTTTTTTTTTTTTTGACAGAGTCTTGCTCCATCACCAGGCACCAGGCTGGAGTGCAGTGGCGTGATCTCAGCTTACTGCAACCTCCGTCTCCCAGGTTCAAGCAATTCTCCTGCCTCAGCCTCCCGAGTAGCTGGGACTACAGGCGAGTGCCACCATGCCTGGCTAATTTTTGTATTTTTAGTAGAGACGGGGTTTCACCATGTTGGCCAGGATGGTCTCGATCTCTTGACCTCGTGATCCGCCCGCCTCGGCCTCCCAAAGTGCTGGGATTACAGGTGTGAGCCACCATGCCTGGCCCAGAATCTGCATTTTAACAAGTCCCCTGGGGGATTTACTGGCACATTCATGTGTGAGAAGCACTGGCCAGGTGTACCTGTGCATGGGTTTCTCCTGGACGTGTACATCAGGGTGGAAGTGCTGGGTCACAGCAGGTGGCCCAGATCACTCTCCCGGCAGCGGCTTCGGAGCTGCCACTGAGCTACAGCTTCCCCAGCTCTTGGTATTGTCCCATGTTCTCATTGTTGCCAGTCGACTGGGCGTACAGTGGCATCTCATCATGGTCTTGACTTACATTTCCCCCATGACTAACGAGGTCAGGCACCTCCTCGTCTGTTTACTGGCCATATGTTTCCCCTTCTGTGAAACGCCTGTTCCTGTTTTTTGCTCTTTTTTCTTTTAGGCTCACTCAACTCAACTCTGCCTTTGCATATGCTGTTCTTTCCATCAGAAACGCCTTCCCCCTTCGCTGCCCTGTCAGTTCTTCCAGGAAGCCCTCCCTGACTGCTGCTCAGGTCGTGAGCCTCCTCAGCCTCACAGGCAGGAAAACTTGGTGCCATTGTTCATTTCATCTTCTGCAGACTCTTCCTCACTGGAGAGACTGCAAACCTATATGGCTTGGTTTGTACAGAGTTGAAAATTTTTTTCACTTTAGTTGCCACAATTTTAAGGAATTTTCTGAAGTTTTATATTTCAGAAAGTCTTTACTGCTAGTTTCTCTTGAAAAAATAAGATATGGCTCCACTGTCTCCTTCCCTAGATGGCAAAATCAGCTGGTGCTTAGTAGGGGCTGCCGCTGTGGGACCATGGGTCCCAGTCCCCACAACTCCAGGCTCATGACTTGTTTAAACAACCTATCTGGGCCCTGTGGGCACTTAGGTTTGTGACTCTTGCATAAGCATGCCCAATGTATATGCTTCTAAATCTTGCCCTTCCTATCCTCCTCCCCATAACCCTGTCCCTGTTTCCACTCAGGCCCTTGCATCTCTCCTCTGTGCCATCACACTAGCCTCCCTTGCCTTCCTTTCTCTAGTCTTCCCTCTTCCAGTCCACTGCCATGTCACACTCCTGCTCAAGAACCAGCAATGGCTCCCCATTGTCTTCCCAGGCACCACCTCACTTTCTAAAAAACAAAAAAGTATTACAATAGGAATACTTTATGTCCACAAAAAAGTCTAGAGAAAAGCATGACAAACACCCACGTGCCACCACCTGGCTTAAGAAATAAACCATCACAAGTATATTTAAAGCCCTTATTACAACATTCCCTTCCCTCTCTCCCTCACGGTCACTACTTTCTTGAATTTGCTGTCTATCACTCCCATGCATGTTTTTAACACTTATATTTCATATGTATGTGTCGCTAAACAATATATGGTATTGTGTTGTGTGTTTTCAAACTGAATATATCTGGCATAAAATTATGTTTTCCATCTGCAACTTGCTTTTTCCATCCAACAATATATATTTTTATTTTAAAGATTGTATTGAAGTATAACATTCATCTAAAGAACACACAAATCATAAGTGTACAACCCTGGGTTTTCACAAACTGCATCAACAGTGTTTTTGAGATTCATCCTCATGATACATAAGCCTGCATTCACCTATTTTGAGGATTGTGGAGCAGAGACAGTTTTCCATTGTCTGAATGCGTTGCTATTTGTCCAGTTTCCAGATGACGGACATTTAGGCTGTGTCCAGCTTTTCACTCTTACAAATGATGCTGCTATGAGTATCCTTGTGCAAGCCTCCTGGGCCCCCATGTGAGGTGTTCTCCAGGGCAAAGCCTGCTCATCGTCAACCTGATCATATATATACTGCCAGGTGGCTGCCCAGCCCCTGGCTTTTGCTGGCTCACAGCTCATTCGCCAACATCTTCCCACAGCTCCAGAGAGCCCACTCTCCTCCCTGCTGACATCCTGCCCAAACATGTCACCTCTTTGCCTGCTGCATACAAGTTTTCAACTTAACCTCTCTATCCTGGCTTTATGGAAGCCCCACCTCTTCCAGGAAGCCCTCTTGGGCAGCGCCGAGCCTCAAGGTGTCATCTCCTTTGAGTGATTGTCTCTCACTCCAGTTGTTAGAACCAAAAAAGATAGAGACAAACCCAGACCAGACACTTGGGGGAGAGGCAATCACTCAGACCAGACACTTGGGGGAGGGGAATATGTTCCGGAGAAAGGAAACATGGGTAGACTAGTAGGGAGTGTGAGAAACTGGGGTATGAAACAGATAGCTCTGGGCCTTGATGGATGAGTAGGAGTTTGTCAGGTAGAGAGGTAGGAGGGCATGGCAGGCACAGGGAAAGGCAGAGGGTGGGCATTGGAACAGCAGTCATCACTGGGTTGGGGATGTGAGCAGGGTGGGAAGGTGGTGGAGGAGACTGGAACCGGGCTGTGAGAAGCCTTGCAGGCCACCTTTTCACGCCATTCTGACCCTTCTGCATTTAGCAGGTATTCTCTGGAGATGGCTGTGTGTGGGAACCAGGAAAGGCAGGCACATTCATTTGACACCTACTGAATGCCAGGCACCGGCAAAGAGCTCATACCCATTATCTCTTTGGTTTCTCACCCAAGTTGGGGATAGAGAGTTGTGGTGTCCCCATCTTACAGGTGGAGGAATGTGGCCAAGAGACGAGCAGTCTCTTGTCTGTAACCACAGCACCAGGAGAGGTAGGGCAGTTCAGGTCCATCCCATTCCAGAGACTGCTTTTAACCCCAGTTCAGCCAGGGGCGAGAAGGCCCCTGGGAGAGGGTGCTGCCGAAGCAGGTCACTAGGAGGGGGCACCCATTCCCAGAGGCAGGAGCCCCAAGTTCTCGGGGGTGGGGTGGTTCCTGACTCGCTCAGTGTGACCGGGGCCAGTCTTGTTCTCTCTGGGCCTCAGTTTCCCTCCTCCACGGGGCGGCGATGGTCTACACCGGTTCCTGCCGGCCAGCCCCATAGCCTGGGGTTCCAGGCTCCTGTGCCACTGTGGCCCACGCTGTGTGACCTTGTTCCAGTAGCCTGCCTTCTCTGGACCGTCGGCCCCGGATTTCCAAGCGCTCTTCCGGCTAGCGACAGAGCGTCGCCTGCTGCGGAGACCCTCCCCCTCCCTCAGGGTTGCGGGGGGGCGCTGGTGGGGGCAGGGAGCCAGGAAAGGCGCGGGCCCCCTCAAGGCCCTCCCCAGACCTGCACCCGTGGCCCGATCCGCGCCTGGTTTTGGGCGCAGCCGCACGGCCCCCTCCCCCGCGCGCCTCTCCCCGCCCTCCGCCCCCTCCCCGCCGCTCTCGGGGAGCCGGGGCCGCGCGGCTCCTCCTCCCGCAGCCGCATCTGGGGCGCCGCACCGGCCGGAGGAGAGACATGGGGCGCCCGCTGACCGGGGCCGGGGCCGGGGCCTAGGCGTGCGGACCTGCAAGCGGACCCGAGCGGCGGCGGCGGCGGCGCAGCGGAGCGGCCGAGCGGGCCGTAGGCGGCCGAGGCGCCGGGCGCAGGTGAGGGCGCGGGGGTGGCGCGCGGCAGCTCCTACCCGCTTCCCGGGCCGGCGCGCTCCGTCCCTCGGCTAGACCCCCAATCCGGTCTCCTCCCTGACAGACCTCCCAGAACCGGGGGGCGGTGCTGGCGCAGAAAAGCCCCCTCCCCTGCCAGTTCTGTCCTCCAAGCCCCGGTCCGAGGGGCCGGCTGCGAGGCTGGGAAGCGCCTTCTCTGGGTGGGATCGCCCCATCCACGTCTCCTCGGACCCTCAAATCGGGGGCGGCGGCAACCGGGCCCGGAACCCCTGTCCAGGGCCGGAGCCCCATTCTGGCTCTTTTTCCCGCGGACTCCCTGGCACCCTACATCAAGCGACTGCCAAAGCTGGGAAGCCCCCTCCTCAGGCCCGCCCCCCCAATCTGCAAGGCGGCCTGGGGGTCAGGCGGACCCCTCCCGTGCCCGGCCAACCTTGGCGCTTGGGAGAGCAGGGCTATGCCTGCCGGGGCATTCCTCCATTCAACCCAGCTGCCTCGGATCCCGCCTCGGTAGCCCCGGGAGCCGCCGGCTCCCCCTTCCCGAGCTCTTTCCCGGACCTGACATCTGGGGAGGGGGCGGGGGCAGCACCCCCCTCCCGCTGCATAGCGCCCCCTCCCTGCTTGCGTGCCTGGGAGGGGCTGGGCTGACCCGGGCACCTGGGCTGGGGGGGGCACTCACATGGCTACCAGAGGCCCCCACGTGCGGCGCCCCGCGGAGACAGGGGTTCGTGTTTGGAACCGGTGGCGAATGAACCAGGTGGCCGCGGGGACCAGCTGGGTCCAGATGTGCCGGGCCTGCTGGGAGGGGACAGGTGCTATCTGGAAGGGTGATGGCCCCTGGTCTCTTTTGGCCGAACCTGCTGCTCGGATCCCCCTCCATCCCTCCAACCCTCCATCCCTCCGTTCCTTCTCCCCTTCTTCCTCCGCTGCCTGTGTGTAGAGAGGGGCTGTCAGAGACTGTTGATGTGGGAAAAAATGAAATGGGGGAGGGGTTGGGATTGCAAAGGCCAGTTGTGTGGGGGGCGGTGGGTAGAGGAGGTGCCCTGAGGATGGGAACCCCTAAGCTTGGTGGAGGGCAGCGCTGATGAGGAGAGGGTTCCCGGCACCCCCACCTGCCTGGAAGTGGAAATGACAGAGCGGGAGGGGGCTGCACTTCCAGCCCCCCCCTCACCCGAGACTGGCCTGCCCGGCCTCTACCTCCACTGCACCTCCTCTCCTTGCTGGAGGGGGCTGTTTTCCGCCAGCTGGAGGTGGTGGGAATCGGTTGTACAGGACCATCTCTGAGAACGCCTGTTGGAGGAGCCCTGTTTCTGTCCCTCCTTAGTGGCCACCTCTCCCTTGCCTTCTCTGCCAGAGGGCACTGGGCTGCCTGGTCCCAGGGTGGGGCTGCAGAGCTGTGCCTTGGCCTGACTGATGGGTGGCTGGAGTGTTGGAGCCACCAACAGGCCCCAGAGCCAGCTGTTGGGGTCAGTCAGCAGCAGACTCTGTGTTCCCAGCAGGTCTGGAGACGCTGGCTGTGCACGTGGGGCTGGCGAGAGTGCCTGTGACCCCGCTGTGGAAGGGGTGGGCCAGGTATCCTGGGCCCTCCAGGAGCTGGGACAGCACAGCTCAACTTCTGGGAATGTGCTTGTGTGTGGTGTCCATGGTGACCCTATACTCACCTGCCAGAGGCCTGGTGAAGCCTGTGCTGGGCTCAGGGGAGTGTGATGGCTGACAAGATCCCTACCTCAAGAAGCCTGTTTTGTGTGGGCAGGGGGCAGCCTGTGTCAGGCATTGGAGACAGTGTCCATGCTGAAGAGCAGCTGATCTGGATGGGACCTGATGGCTGGGTTGTGTGGAACCCCCGGAAGCATCCGGCTGGTGCCAGCCTTGAGATGGAGCCGCAGGTCTGAGGGCTATGCCCGGGGCGTGAAGCTGCCTGGCAGCTGAGTTGGTGTTTTTGAAGGAAGGCTGTGCAGCACTTGGGAAGTCGGAGAGAATATGTGCTTTGGAGCTTCAGGAGATGCTGACGTATCGGATGTATCAGGGGCACCCACTGACATCTCATTAGGTTCTTGTGTGGTTTGTGAGCCACAAGCTTTGTAAATGCCAGCAGTTTCACATGATGGGAAGGCTCTGAGGAATCTGGGCACTCTATGTGACAGAAGCAGGTGATCCCTACCCTCCTATACTTCTGTGATGGGTATTCATTTATTCAAAAAAGCTTTAGAAGCCAGGGCGGCTCGCCCCTGTAATCCCAGCACATTGGGAGGCTGAGGCAGGTGGATCACCTGAGGTCAGGAGTTCGAGACCAGCCTGGCCAACATGATGAAACCCTGTCTCTACTAAAAATACAAAAATCAGCCAGGCATGGTGGTGGGAGCCAATAGTCCCAGCTACTTGGGAGGCTGAGGCAGGAGAATCGCTTGAACCCAGGAGGCGGAGGTTGTAATGAGCTGAGATTGTGCCACTGCACTCTAGCCTGGGCAACAAGAGTGAAACTTCTTCTCAAAAAAAAAAAAAAGGCATTAGAAAATCGTATTCTTCTCTGACATCAGTGCATTTGAACACTTTCATTTGAACATTCAGAAATGTGAATTAATAAAATTTTGAATGCAGGGTTTTGTTTTTTTTTGTTTTTTGTTTTTTGCTTTTTTTTTAGAAAGCACACAGTAGGTACCCAGTAAATGCCATGGCTCCCCGCCCCCTCCCACTTTGGCTCAGGTCCCCCTGGCCTGCCTTCAGTTCCTGAAACAGGCCACGTTCCCTCCAACTTCAGGGTCTTTACACATGCTGGCTCCTCTGCCTGAACATCTCCAGCCCCCTTCCCCCATGTGCCTGCTCAACTACTGCTCATCACCCAAGCTTAAGCATTGCTTCCAGAAGAAAGCCTTCCTCGATGCCCAGGCCAGGCTATGTCACTGTCACCACCTGCCCAGCCCCGTGGGCCTCTGCTTCATTACCCCATCCCCATCCTTCTTGGATGTCTCTGGGTGTGGCTGGTGTGGAGAGGGGCAGGGTCACGCCTGCCTCTTCACGCCATTCTGCTGGTGCCGAGAAGACAGCTTGGCTCAATGTGGGCACTTGTCCATTTCTTTTGACTTTTGACGATCTGGTCCATTCTGAGTAGAGGGCTGAATGCTGCGGAATGAGGGGAGACTTGGCCAGGCCATCACCAACATGACTGTCCATGTGCGTTCCCGGTCTCCAGCTGGGTCTGCATACCCAGAGGCGTTTAGCCAGGATCTGTGGGAGTTACAGGCCTGTAGCCTCAAAATCCCAGTGGGTCTGTGGGACCCCAAAGGCTCTATAGGAGGGCGAGGGGCCATGCTTCTTTGGGGGTGTGCCCCCAGCCAGGCACTTCCCCCTGTGGCCATTCATTTGCTAGCATCATCACCTCTTTCCCTTTTCAGCCCTTCCTTCACTCGCCAGGTCACTGGCCTGTTCATTTTTCCATTTCCTAGTCCCCTGTTCGTTCTTTGGGCTACTAGTGCTTCCTGAGGCCCACTCAGTACCCAGCCCTGTGCCAGGCTCGGGGACACAGAGTCAAACCTGCGAGGACCCCACTCTGTAAACTGTAGCCATCCTGCTAGGCACTTCCTAGTGATGGATACTGGTGCTATCAAGGGCTGGAAGTGCTTCCTAAAGGACATGTACTTGAGCTGGGTTTTTGGGGATTTAGGGATTTGGGTAGATGGAGGATACAGGGAAGTACACTGCTGGCTGCAAGAGCTGCATGGACAAGGCACAGTGGCCCATGCTTGTAATCCTGGCACTTTGGGATGCCAAGGGGAAGGACTGCTTGAGCCCAGGAGTTTGACACCAGTCTAGGCAACATAGTGAGACCCTGTCTGTACAAAAAAAAAAGGAAAAAAGAAAACTGCAAGGATAAAGTCAGGAAGGCAGCCACATGCTGGGTGAGCTTGGGGATGCTGAGGGTTATGTGTCCTTCTAAGAGGAGACGGCCACTCCTAAGTGGGCCTCAGGGAGGCTGGTCATGGAGGAAGTAGGGTGCAGTCATGGTGGGCATCCACTCTTCTAGGAGCCCTGTTGCTAATTGCCGTGTTTCTTTGGATGAGGCGCATCCCCTCTCTGGGCTCCCTTTATCAAGTGAAGACTTAGACCTGGTGATCTCTGAGGGACCTTCTGCCTTCTGCTGTCCGAAGTCTGTGCTCCTGAGAGCCCTGCATCTTGGGGCATCTGGTGGGCTCTCCTCCCATTTTATGGACAAAGAAATCAAGCATTTTTTGCTTATTAGTAAGGTCTGCAAGGCTGCACAGCTGATGAGGTGGCGGTGCCACGGTTTGGATCCAGAGCAAGCCACTGGGTTTGCTCTAGTGGCTTTGAAGGGCAGCTTTCGTGTGTAAGCTCCCGGGCTGGCGTCACCGGGGGCTGATGAGGCTTGACAGTTTCTTCCAACAGATGACCCTATTGGTTAAGGGAGTGAGGGGACTGGAGAGCAAACTCACTGGGCATCTGGGAAAAGATGTCACTGAGGAGTCCTGTGCGTTGCACCAAAGACAAGCCCACTTCCTAATTCATCAGAATATGGGGGGATGCTTTGAGACTCACATGACTAGACTTTCTTTCATTGTGACCTTTGGCGGGGAGGGTTGTCTGTTCTGTTCCTACATCCCCTTCATAGTGTCTCCTAGCAACTCCTCCAGGCCAGGACTGAAGTCATTAGGGGTATGTAGCACTCTACAGTTTGCAGAATTCATTTAATCCCCCCATCTTCTGGCCACAGCCAGGGTTAGGAATGAAAAGGCATATTGTCTCCATTTGACAGATGGGGATACTGAGGCTCAGAGTGGTTGGGTGGCTGCCCAAGGTCACTCGGAGGGTCCTTGGGAGGAGGGCAGCATATAGGGGCCTCTCACTTGCAGATCACTCATCATTTTCTGAGACAAGGAGTGGGGCCCTGGATCCTTCTGTGCTGGGTTTCGCAACGCCGCCTCCTCCCCACTCAGCTGTCTGACGTGGCCTTTTCAAAAACCCAAAATGAATGG